TTTTATTAATCCTTTCAAAGAACCAGCTTCTTGTCCTGCTGATTCTTTCTCTGATTTTTCTGTTTTCTATCTCGTTTATTTCTGTTTTAATCTTTATTATCTCTTTCCTTCTGGTGACTGTACTTAGCTGGTCTATTTCTAGTTGTTGGAGGTATTGTGTTAATGTGTTGAGTTTGGGTCTTTCTTCTTTTTGGATGTTTGCATTTATTGCAATAAATTGTCCTCAGCACTGCTTTTGCCATGTCCCAAAGATTTTCGTAAGTTGTGTTTTCATTCTCATTTGTTTCTAGGAATTTTGCAAATTCACCTTTTATTTGTTCTGCTACCTCGTAGCTTTTAAGCAGGGTGTTTTCATTTTCCATGCATTTGACTTTATGTTCTTGGTCTTCCTACGGTTGATTTATAATTTTATAGCATTGTGATCTGAGAAGATGCTTTGTAGTGTGTTGATGTTTGTAAACTTATGGAGGCTTGTTTTGTGGCCTAACACATGGTCTGTTCTGGAAAATGTTGCATGTGCACTGGGAAGGAATGTGTATTGTGCTGTTGTTGGGTTGAATGCTATGTTCACATCTATGAGGTCAACTTTGTTGATTGCGTTGTTTAATTCTTTTGTGTCTCGTTGAGTTTCTTTCTAGTTCTATCCTTTTTCGAAAGTGGTGTATTAAAATCTCCCACTGTCATTGTAGATTTGTCTATTTCTTTCTTCAGTTCTATTAGGGTTTGCTTTATATATTTTGGAGCTCTTTCATTGGGAGCATAGATGTTAATTATGGTTATGTCATCTTGTTCAGTTGACCCTTTAATCATGAGATAATGTCCTTCTTTACCTCTTAGGCTAGCTTTTGTCTTAACGTTTTTGTTATCAGAGATTGGTATTGGCTCTCCTCGTTTTTGATTGGAATTAGCTTGGTATATTTTTTCCCATCCTTTAACTTTTAATCTGGTTTTGTCTTTATGTGTAAGGTGTGTCTCTTGCAGACAGCATATTGAAGGATCTTGTTTTCTTATCTGTTCTGCCACTCTCTCTCTCTTAACTGGTGCATTTAATCCATTGACATTCAGTGTGATTGTCGATAGCTATGAATTAATTGCTGTCATTATGTTTGTTTTTGTGTGGTGCTGCTAGTTTCTTTGTTCTGCATGCCTTCCTATGCTGATTTCATATTTTTTGTGCCTTTTCTTATCAGTTTCATCATAGCTTTAATGTTTCCAGGTTGTTCTTGGAATCATTTTCTAGATATGTTGTGAAGTATTGATTTTCTTTGAGGTTACCCTTAATTTTTTCCTCCATTTCAAACAGTCTATTTTATCCTGCAGTCTACCTGACTTCCAAACCACCTGTATCTCTGTTCCTATATTTTCCCCTTCTTTCACATTGTAATTGTTTTGATCATAGATTGGCCTCCCAGATCCTCTGAATTCGTTCTTGTAGTTTTTTTCTGTTCTAGACTCTTCCATCTGTCAATTGAGTTCCAGTGGTGTTGCCACGAATATCAGTCTCCAGTTGTTGTCTGTTCTTTTTGGTTCTCAGTCCAATTAAGTCCCTTTAGGATGTTTTGAAGCACTGGGTTGACTTTGACAAAATCCCTTAGCTTCTGTTTATCCTGGAATGTTTTGATTGTATCCTAGTATTTGATTGACAGCTTTGCTGGGTAAACGACTCTTGGTTGGCAATTTTTTTTCTTTCAGGGTTTTATCTATGTTTCCCCATTGCCTTCTTGCCTGCATGGTTTCTGCTGAAAGATCAGAGAAACAGATTTTATTTGCTTGCCTTTTTTTAGGTAATACTTCTGTTTTCCCTACCTGCTTTCAGGATTCTCTCCTGGTCATTGATTTGGAGAGCTTGATTATGTTAAGTCTTGGTGATTTTCTTTTGGGGATCTATCCTTCTTGGTGTTTGTTCAGCTTCTTGAATGCGTATCTTCTTGTCTTTCAGGATGTTAAGTCTTCAGATTTTTCTTTCTTTTTTCTGCTTGCTCTTCTGTCTTAGCAGTATTGAGAGATTCATCTTTAAGCTCGCTGGTTCTGGCTTCCATCTCTTCAGTATATCTTTTGCCCATTCAGTGTATTGTCTATTTCTGATATTTTATTATTAATCATTTAGACCTCTATTTTTTTTTTTTTTTTTGTAGGTTTTGAATTGTTTCCAGTGCTATTTGTATCTTATTTAATTGTTCCTGTAGCATTTTCCTTATTTTTCTTAACCCCTCTGTGGAGCATTTGGCTGCACTTCAGTATCATTCTCCTCAATACCTTATTAGGCAGTTCCAAAGCCTGCCCTCCTTCCAGTGGGGGTTCTGGGTCTACATCTAAGTCATTTGATTTAGTTGCTCTGTCTAGTTTCAGGACATGAGCTGAGGTCTTCTGTGGTTGTTGTTGTTGTTTTTTGGGGGGGGGACATTTTCAATAATTAGATGAATATATGTAGGTGTATTATTAAGCTTTCTGATTACCTCTTGGGAGATGTGATCAGGAGGTGGTGTCCCTTTTCACTTCTCTAACTGTTCAACTCAGAGTCATTTTAGTAAGTGTTGGTTGTCTCTGCTGCTGTAGTGTATAGCAGCTGGTATTGGCTCTTGCCCAGATGGTGGTATTTTATAGGGTGTGATTATAGCTTGGCTATATGACTGCAATTGCTATCTCTTCTTGGGTAACATAGGGAGAGAAAGAGCTCCCTCCACCCCAAGGTAAAAGGGGGACAAAAAAACCCACAAACAGATTGGACACTAAAGTATAAAATCATGCAAAAACACACAAAAAAAACCCATAGCGAAATATGAGTAAGACTTTAACGCCCCTTGTTCAGTTTCTTGCCTTCAAGGCCACCTGAGAAATTTCAAGGTCTCGTTCCTTGTTTTTGCATCTCTTCCTCTTCCTCAAGCCCACTCCGGTGAGACACATCCCAGGACTGGCCAGAGCCGTTGTGGAAGACCCTCCCGTTTGAAGCTGTTCCTGTTGCCTCCTTCCCCTTCTTGGGTTCTGGGCCCAGTGGTCTTTGCTGAGCAGGTCCGTGTTCATGGGTTGTAGAACTCTCTGGGGGCGGGGGATAGTGTCCACTCACTTAGTCACCCCTTCTAGGCACTAGAGTGGAGGTGCGCTGACCGAGAGAGACAAATGAACAGAAAAAAAAAAATTGTTCACACCTCTGTGTCTATTGATGGGTCAGACCTCTGCCATGGGCATTTTCTCTTGTTCTTGTGTCTGCTCAGTCCCACTCAGGGTGGCTGTGCCGGGACTCGATGGCTGCCACAGATCAGAAAACAACACTTTTCTTGCTTCTGCTATAAATCCTACTAGCAGTAAGTCTTCCATACTTATAAAGATTCTTTTATATGTAGTTCAGAATTCCGGAACCATCCCCTAAACCTGCTTTGTCCAGTATTCTGTGTTATCACTGGCAGAGGTCTGCACGGTGTCTCCACCTAATCCGCCATCAAGCCTCTTCCCCATTGCTGCTGCTGCTTGGTTTTTTATTAAAGAAATGAGTTTGAGGGGAGCCCTAAGGCTAGCCGTCACTGTGGTTTCTGGTACATGGTGTGAGGACTGCTGTCCAGGCCTCGGTGTCTGTTAGCTGTCACTGATCCCTTGTCAGCATCAGAAGGGCTTTGAGATCAGTGTCTCATTCACAGCTGTGTTCCAGGTGGGAGGTAATGGAAGGAGCCGAGTCCCGGCTGTAGCCCTTCTAACAGCCACAAGGTCCTGGATACCCCACCCCCTTCTAGTGATCCCTCTTCAGATTCTTTGCTGGTTAATAAGGGATCAGTTGGGTTTTCCGATAATGTCTGTAGGTCTCTGACTGTTGGTAGTGTAAGCTCCAGAGTCTCATAAATTTGAAAATGACATTCTAAAAGCAGATATCTATAGCCTGATAGGGATTTAATCTTGCTCCTGAATAAAATAGCCATCCTTCTCCCCAGAGAAGTAATCTTTAATGTGTAGGACTTAAAATGTCACCCATTCATGTTCTTTCCTTTGGTGGTTCATTTCCTGATGTAATGGGAGCATTAAGGAGCCTTGGTAGCACAGAGGGTTATGCATTGGGCTTGACAGCCTTGGAAACCGATGGGGCAGTTCTACTCTGTCTTTAGAGTCACGATGAGTTGAAATTGACTAGATGATCCTTCCATTGGGTCTGGTTTTGAAGGTGGTGATCTTACAGAAGGTACTGGCATGGTAAGTTCTGAGGCCATGACTTTCTCTCGTGGCTGTTAATGTACCTGGAGCACATTGTGACAAGCCACAGGGACATCTGGTCCCTGTTAGCACCAAGTATCAATCAGGCCTCTGTACTTGTCTCTGTTTTTGTGTTTGCTTAGCTAGGCTGGAGTGCCCTTTCACCAGGGGTATGATTAGGGCCTCTTTGCTTATTAGATGTAGATAAACAAAGGATGAAAAGAAGAGAAAGGTCAGATCCCTGAAAATGTGTTCTACTTGGGTGCTTCTGTCTGTGTAACTTGTTGCTTAACTATGTTACGAAAAAGGTTATGAAATGTAATCAATTTTACTATGTACTTGAAATTTCTGAAAGATTCAACGCTGTACCTCCCCCAGCTACGGGTCTCAGTTCTAAGTAATAATTTGTCTTGATGAATGTTGTGCTTCCTGATGTTGGAATTATTCTTTGATGGTGTTGTTTTAAAAAGGGTTACAGGCCATAGATTTGTTTTAAGTTTACTTGTCATGTGGTATAAAAGCAGACAAATGCATTCAGTTATGGAGGGAGCTTCAAAGACTTCGTGGAAAATGGAATGAAAATATCATGGAATTTTTCCAGGAACGTTTTGCAGCCTTGCTGTATTGTCTCCCCACCAATTTCTCCTCATGTGTTAATCAAACGCGTCTCTGGATATCTGAAGGGTTATGCTGGTGCTGATTAAATTTTCAAGATCCAACACCATTGAGCCTGTATTGCTTTGAACTGAAAGGATGTAAAATGACGTGGGGTTTTCAAGATCGTTTTTGTGGCAGAGATGTAACGGATCCCCTTTGTGTTGCAGTTACTCCGTGAGCTTAAGCATCCGAACGTCATCTCTCTTCAGAAGGTGTTTCTGTCTCACGCTGACCGGAAAGTATGGCTTCTGTTTGACTACGCTGAGCATGACCTCTGGGTAAGGTGCCCTTCTTGCCATCAGCTTGTTAGAGTGAGGAGGACAGTTGGGAGCTCAGCTGACTCGGACACACCCACTCTGCAGCAGGAGAACCCATGTGGGTTCACATGTTGATGCTGTGTGTTCCATTTTGACCCTATCCGTGTGGCCTTGGTGACAGTTACTAAATGACAGACTCTTGAGTACAAACAATCTTCTGTGTTGTCCCACCACTTTACGTTTTGACGGGAAAAAAAAAACATTAATCGGTGATAATTTATTGTGTTATAAAATATTAAAACCACTGATTTCCTGTTCCTCTGTAGATTCATAGGGCCCCTGGTGGCCCAGTGGACCACCAGCCATAAGGTGGAAGGTTCAAACCCACCAGCTGCTCCGAGGGAGAAAGATGAGGCAGCTTGTGCCTGTAAAAGACTGACAGTCTCAGAACCCTTTGGAGCAGTTCTCCTGTGTCCTTTACGGTCCCTCTGAGTCAGAATTGACTTGACAGCAGCAAGTTTGGCGTTTGCAGAGTAAAAGAATATGAGGGAGGCTTCAAAAAGTTCCTAGAAAGATCCCATTATCGTTTACTTCCATTTTTCTCATTAAACTTTGAAGTCCTCCCAAGATGAGGGTGGCTATCGTCTTGTATGGGGAAGAATAGGTTCTGTTTGAAAGACTAGACTGAGATCTGATAGTGGGTCTGCCAGCTCTTTTCCATAGGGTGCTAGGCTGGTCCCTTGAAGGCTCTGGAGCTGGAATTTCCTTCATCTGCAAAGTGTCATACTGTGTCTGCAGTTTGTACAGGGTGGTTCTGAGCTGCAGTTGTATATTTGAAAAGACTTCTGAACAAAAGAACTATCAGATGTTGGAAATTATTAATGAGAGGGACTATGGGTTAATGTGCTGGACTGCTAGGTCGGTTGGAACCACAAGGTTGGTGGTTCAAGCTCACTTAGCCGCTCCTTGGAAGCCTTGTATGGGGTCACTGTGAGTCAGAACTGGCTCGACAGCATTTAATAGCCACAGTAACTAATGACATTGAGTATCTTCTCATATGCTTATTGTCCATTTGTTTAACTTCTTTGTGTGTAAATTTTGTGTAAGTCCTTTGCCCATTTTTTGATGATGGGGTTTATCTTGTTAAGTTGTTAAGACTTCTGGACATTAAATCCTTATCCAAACTTTAACCTAAAAAAATTTTTAAGTTATCTTAAAATGTATTAAGTATTAAGATATTAAGCTTCTGTATTAAGATATTACGTATTAAACTTCTGGATCCAGTAGGTCATCTTCCCCAGGAGAACAGACTGGATGTCACATCATAACTTAGGGCAGGTGACAGAATATTCTAGATTTTTAGTGAGTCATTGTAGCTTGGTTTTGCTTGCCTGCCATTACATACATTGAAGCAGAGACTAAGAAGAAAATGAGACTAGCATACTGCTGCCAGAAAACTCTACCTTTCCACCAGGTGTGCAGACTGATCACACAGAATATGTCCCATCTACGACACTCACCCTCCCACCAGGTGTGCAGACTAGTTACACAGAATACATCCCATCTGTGACACTCTGGCTTCCCACCAGGTGTATAGACTATCACACAGAATACACACCAGCTATGTGCAAAATTCTGTCTTCCCACCAGGTATTTTTGCACTATTAACAACCCCCCTTATTTTGTAAAGTAAAGCACTTTACTCATTAAGCAATGGTCTCTATGGATTGGAATCGACTTGATGGCACTTAACAACATTTCATATTCATGGTCCTTATGCCTTCTGTAGCCTGAGAAAATAGGAAGTAGAAATGCTAACCTAGAATACTAAATTCCATCTTGGCATTTTGATTGTTGACAGATTTCAGGCATGTACTAAGCATGTGCCCTTACACGTGGAGCCCCGAGTGCACCCTGCTGTACTGGCTCTACAGTACCTGTACAGCTAGAGGGGACCAGCTGACCTGTATAGACCCCCGTGCAGTTTAGGGATGCTGTCATGAAAACCAACAGGCCTGCCCAGAGAAAGTGAAACTGTGGGTCTGGTTTCTGTGGAGGTGCCTGTACTTCTCAAGGGATTTCTAAATCCTTCAGTTTGCATTTTTGTTTTATAGGACATCCAATAACACTGAACCTAGAAAACTTGAATGGCGGGTAGTTCAGGGCTGTTGCATTGCTTATTTGTGTGTTTCAAATGTGAGTCATTCATTCATGTTTGTAAATATTCTGAATCTTTTAGTGTGAAGTGCTCATTTGCATGCTGTCACTTCTCCATCTTTTTTGTGTCTTGACCAGCCACTGTCTGTAGCCTGTAAGTCATAAATGGGTGGTGTAGGTAATGCCAATCCAGCCAGCAGTGGCTCTCGACATTTGCTCAACTTCCACTCCACTCCATTCATTTAATCACGACAGAATGAAAATGATTCTGTTGTTGAAAATTTCTACCAAATAACAGGGGTTAAAGACAGATCATTGTAATTATGTGTTGAAAACAAAATCACGCTATTTCCTCCTGCTCTGTTGTAATCATTTGTCTTCAGACTCTACAGGAGAGTCGTGGAGTCCTGATGTGATGCTGTAGGATAATGTACTGGACTACAGGGTCGGTTGGACTGCAGTGTTGGCAGTTCAAACTCAGCAGCCGCTCCTCAGAGCTATGAGTCATAGTGGTTGTGAGTCAGAACCGACTCGATGACACTTAGCAACAACAGCGATATGAGAGATGCAGAAAAGGAAATGGCTGGCCCCAGCTGTTGGGAAATTTCAAAGTTATTCATGTTCTTCAGCACATCTCCTTCTGATAGGAAAATAGTACATACCCCCTTCTCTCCTCCCCTCTTTCTGTTGAATCTTCTGTTGATGTTTTTCTTTCTTTCAGCATATAATCAAGTTTCACAGAGCTTCTAAAGCCAACAAGAAGCCCGTTCAGTTACCTCGGGGCATGGTGAAGTCACTGTTATATCAGATCCTCGATGGGATCCACTACTTGCACGCAAACTGGGTGTTGCACAGGGATTTGGTAAGTTGACCTGTGACTGGGTTCAAATGGGGAAGAAGCAGGTATAGGTGGGTGCGTCTCCTTGTCACCGTGTTGTGGTACACTGAGGCAGGCAACAGCATCTGGCACCACAGAGGGCACGGGGAGGAGGGGTATGGACATCTTAAAGCTTAGCTCAGCCTCGGTGCACCGCTTCTCTGCAGACTTGCAGAAGAGCCTGTGTGCGCTCCTGGGGACAGCGCTGGCTGCCTGCACATGGGCTCTAGATGCCAGCTGGCCTCTACAGTGGAGGTTTTCTTGAAAGACTTGAAAATGACTTTTGGAGCCTGCTGCAGGCTACGTGGCATATACCTAGAGGAAAGCCTCAATACACTCCGCTGCTTTTTATTAGGGCTTTGACTCTGTACTATGGTCAGGACCCTAGTGGCACAGTGGTTAAGTACTCAGCTGAACCCACCAGCCACTCTGCACTACAGCAGGCAGTCTGCTTCTGTAGAGATGCCAGCCTTGGAAACCCGAGGGGCCAGCTGTGCTCTGTCCTATAGCACCACTGGGAGTCGGCATTTGCTCAGTGACAACAGGTTAGGTTTTAGTGTGCGGCTCTTTTTTGTGTTGCTTAGCAGTTGTTTTTCCCATAGGCCTTCACTAGTCACAATTGTCTGGCCGATAGGTCTTTATTACTTACAATTGAAATATAATATTGAGAAGCCTGGGGTGGTGGTATAGGATCAGCACTGGACTGCGTACCATAAGGTCGATGGTTCAAACCCACCAGTTGCTCCTCAGAAACCCTGTACAGGGTCGCTATGAGTCAGAACCGACTCAAGACACCAAACAACACCATTGAGAAGTCTAGCTGTGTTCACGTGTATTTAACCATTACAGAAATGAGTTTTCTTATTTACATTTTATGTGGCAAAATTGTTTATACTTTCCCCGCCCCATCTAGGATATTATCCTTCATTATGTTTTCATAGATTTAAGTGATGTAAGCCTCAAATTTGTCCTTTCCGATTGCACAATTACATGGTACTTTTGCTGTTCTTCTCTTTGTAAAGACAGTGAATGTAGGAAGGTCTCTAACAGTGCGCTCATTCAGTTGATTCTAAATACAGTGCTGAAAAGGGTAATTTTCCCTCAAAGTGTATGTATGAGGGTAAGTAAAAAGTATTGCTGCAAATCGTAAGCATCCTTATTAAACAAAAATAACAAAATATGAAGCTCTTGTTTCTTGACAGCACCTCCATCTAGGTCTGCACACTTTGGAAGGCAGTGTTTCATCTCTAACCCTGCCCTGAAGAATTCTGCGCTCTAAGCGACACTTTGTCAAATGGCGCATTTGGCATCCTTGAGGGATTCAGACTGTGTTCCTGTTCAATGTTCTTTGAGTTTGGGGAACCAAAAGAAGTCTGAAGGGGCAAGATCAGGATCACAGGGTAGATGGAGTAAGAGTTCCCAGTAAATTCCTTATAGAACAGCCCTAGCTACCCTCGAAGAATGTGCAGGTGCATTGTTGTGATGGAAAAAATTCTTTGGTACAACTTTCCTGGCCCTTCTCACTGATGCAGTATTGAGTCTTCTTAAAACGTCTTCATACTAAGTCTCCAGGATCTTCCTTTGTCCTTGGAGAAATTCTGCCAAAATGAGCCTTTCGGAATCCCCAAAAAACTGTTACTGGGATGAGAGGAACAGTCCCCATAGCCTTCTGCGCTGACCACTCTCTCTGGAGTAGAACTGGCCCAGGAGGTCCCTTCGGAAGCCACTGTGTGGATTGGACCTGCTTTTTAAAGACACCCTGAGGAGGCAAAGACAAACTGAGAGAGCGTGTCCACCGCCCTCCACAGATCACAGTCATGTTTAGACGTGCTCTGTTTGGAGTAAACCTGTGTGTGTGTGAACTGGAACCCGGCTAGCAGTGCTGACTGATGACCTTCTGTTTTCAGAGTGCTCAGGGCTCAGGATCGAGGAGAGGAGAGTTTGGGGGCTGAGCTGGCCTCTCGTGTGGTCCCTCTTTCCAAGTTGTGCAGCCTTGATAGCCTGAAATCTTGGCCTTCAGAGGAGCCCTTCCCATGGCGGTTTCTCCTCTGTTCTTCTCATCGCAGTAATGCTTCCTGAAATGCACATCATGGTCCCTGATACATGTCCAGCTCGTATGCCTCACAGGTGTTCTTATCGGGACCAGTAACAGCAGAAATGGAGTGAAAGGAGTTTCTTTTTGCACTTTATTTTTAACAGAATTACATTTTACTTACAAAGAGTGGATGTAAGAAATAAATAAGACAAATGCTTTGCCTCTCTATGAAACTGAAAAGAAATTTTGTCTGGAGTTGAGTTAGGAACAAAAGTCTTACTCCTTTGAAGCTACTGGCAGTATGTATGGAATCTGAAGGAGGCAGCCATGACTTCGGGCACTTTCTGTTACTGAATCGCAATGCCTGGATATCGGGGTTTGAGTCCAGCTCAAACCTTTTTGTGGGTGGTCTCGAGGGAGAGCGCGAGGATGAGAAAAATACGTACAAAAGGAAAGAATTCAGGCAAGGGTCCACAAGCTGATAGCAAGTGACATAGCGAGTGACCAAGTTTATTGAGAACAAGAGGTTTTTATAGAGCAATTCTTGCAAGTCAGCTTGGTTCTGCTTAGTTACAGGTTTATCTCTTACTGGGAGCCAGGCAACCTTGAGAAAGCTGCTTTCCCTGCAAGAGTATCTTCTGCTGTGAGTCATGAGAACTGGGCGAGTTACTTTCCGTGTGTAGAATAAGCAGGCTTTGTCTGGCTGTATTCAAACTCCAAGCTTTATGAAGCCTGGAAGCCTTCCGGCCTCCAACACCTGGAGTGCCGTGCTTTCTTTGCTTTGAGAATTACGTTTTCTTCAAACTGTAGATATTTCTCTTTATTAGATGAAATACAAGCGGATTTATTTAAAAAACAACAACAACCACCACCAAAACTGGCATTTAGAGAGCTCTGGTGGTGCAGTGGATTAAGCATTGGACTGCTAACCACAAGATTGGCGGTTCAAACCCATCAGCTGCTCTGCCACAGAACGATGTGGCCATTTGCCTTCTGTAAAGACAGAGTCTTGACAACTTGATAGCCAGTTGTCCTCTGTGCTGTCAGCTCGCTGTGTATCAGAACGGACTCAATGGCAGTGGGTTTGGTCTGGTTTGGGTTTTGTAGTTAAATATTATGTTAATACAGTAGCATACACTTGAAGCACTTACACAGTAAAGCCTGCCAAAGCAGAACCCAGGTAAAGTGCAAACCTGTCAGAGAAGGAAAACTTGAGTGGCTTCCAGTAAACAGGGAGCCACAGGGAAATGGCGAGGGCACCCCCCGGACGGACAGGACAAGTCCCCCTGCTTGCCACCTCTCACAGGCTCCATCCACTGTGGTGGATGTCACTACAGTTGTTGTGAAGTGCCATCAAGTCAGTTCCAACCCATATCAACTCTCTGTAGGGTTTCTGAGGAACAGCTGGTGGATTTGAACCACCGACCTTGTGGCTAGCAGTCCAGTGCTGATCCTACAGCGCCACACCATTAATCCAATTGCTACAGTAGTAGTAATAATTTAGAGATCCAAAGTACAATGAAACACAGACTACAAACAGGTGCTTTCTGTTGTCATCATATGCTGGGAATGCTAAACATGATCTGCAGTAAAACCTTCCTCTTCAGTTAGGCAGAGGAGCCCACTGGCACATGGATTAAGCACTCAGCCAGTAATCACAAGGTCAGCGGTCAAACCACTAGCCACTCTTTGGTACAAAGATGAGGCTGTCCACTCCTGTCACAACTTAGAGTCTTGGAAACCCTTTGGGGCAGTTATGCCCTCTCCTGTGTGGTTGTTGTGAGGCAGAATTGACTTGTGTTGGGTTTGGTTCAGTTCGACAAGTCCCCCGCCCCCCTCTACCCTTTTGACATGCCACGAGTGTCCGTTCCGTGGTCCATTATCTCGGTCCTTTCCACACTGTGCTGGGGCCTCTTCTGGTTTCCCGCTTTGAAACGAGTCTTCCTACATGCCCTGTTGACTGCCCAGTGCTCTTCCTGTGCCTCTACCTGGCTCTGTGTCTCAGGGACCCCTAGACCTCGGGACCACCTCAGCCAGCTGTGGTCTGACCAGTCCAGGGTTAGGGTTCAGTGCCCGAAGGGAAGTGCTCGCCTTCACCTGCTTGCCTCTGGAAATGAAATGGTGGAATTGTGAGATTTATGCTGCTTTTCCGCTATTACTACATAAGAGAGAGTCCTGGGGTGGTGGTATGGGATAAGCACTAGACTGCAAGGTCTTTTTGAACCATGAGATCGGAGGTTCAAATTCACCAGCCTCTCCTCAGAAACCCTGTACAAGGTTGCTATGAGTTGGAACCAACTCGATGGCCTTTCACAGCAACAACGTGTTATTAATTCGTGTAGTTACAGAATGTTTCCTCTCAGAGACAGTGCTCAAAGCCTGTATAATATCTCTCTTTTAAAAAAATCCCTTCTGAGTATTTGTTAATATCTGTAGCTAAACTATTTACCCTATAAGAACAAATATTTATGAGTGAATTCTATTCTTTGCCCCTTTTCAGTCTAGATGAAATGTAGCAATGTTGGCCATCAGGAGCTGGACAGTTGACTGAGTCCGTAACTTATGAAAGAACTTTTACTCAGAGGAGTCTGTCTCTGAGGGAGGTGTACCTGGCTGGCATGAGCCTGGGGATTCTGCCGTGTTAGTAAAACCCCGTCTAAATAGTTCTTCCGAAGGTTACTGAGACTTAGCCTTCATTGAATTTACTTCCTTAGTAATAGATATCAATCAGGGTTTGTGGTAGTAGGGGTCTGAACCTACAAGGTTGGCGGTTCAAGCTCACCAGCTTCTCCTCGGAAACCCTATATAAGGTCGCTCTGGGCTGGAATCGACTCGACAGAACTTAACAACAACAACAACTCTCATTAAGGTGCCTTAAAAAAAAGAGTCCCATCAGAGCAGTGGCTTGTGACAGGATCGGCTGGGCCAGTTCCCTTCACGGCAGATAGGT